CATCTAAAATCTTCAGTGTATACTGCTATCAAAGCACCTGTCACTCTAAAACAACCAACTACTACTGATTTGTCCAACTTATGCAACAAACTGAACTTGCTGAGCATAGGAAACATAGTATATTTATTCTGCATCCTCAGAGTGTGAACCATACATGGCACTCAGTAGATGCTCTATGACATTAGTGAATATGAAACTGTAGTTAGTAAGAAATATTTATAGAACAAAATTTGAAAGTTAACATAAAGACTATTTGCAAAACTGTGAAAGTCTTAAAAGCAGGAAGGAGTACTGTATTACACAAAACTGAGAAAGCTCAAATTTGATGAAATTCACTCTAAATTCTAAGACATTATCAGGGTCAGAACAACCCATCTCCACTTTACCTCCAAGACAGTAGAAAAACTAAAAGAAAAAAGAATTATCTTTTTCAACTGTAAAATTACTAAATTAAAATTGTAGAATTTATAAATAGTATTTGAGGACAAATAAAGTGCTTAAATTGTGAGTATTCACAGTGCTATAAATATTAGAAGACAGACATGCCAAATACTTCATAAAACATTTTCAGGTTCATTTCATGTAGGGACCAATTATACCTTTTAAAGGTCTCTTATAATGTTTTAGCTTCAAGCAATATGTTCATTCTTTCCGACAAAAGAACCTTTGCCTTTTAACAGCATTCTCTACTTTTTGCAACCAGTGCTGATTTTTATAGAGAAATTGCAATGAGATATATAGTGTGAAATCTAATTAGTTCTTTTAAATCTTGATAATGGGAACTTCTTATTTTCTCAAAAAGCACATATGTTGCCAACATCTGAAAAGTTGATGAGCCCTTTGTCATTAGAATATGCTTTTCACATGTAAGAAATTTTGATTTGGTAAAAAGTTGCAAACCAGGGGAAAATACCCAACAAAGATATAGTAAACATTAGTTTACCCTAAAATAATTCAACTACGTATTTTAGAACATAAATCAGTTTCTCAGACTTATGCATCTTCTTCCCAACCTACACTGATGACAATTATATTGCAGAACACTCTATAATATATTAAGTTCAAGCACACCAGAGATTGTAACTTACACATTTTTTCAGATTTTAAAAGTGTAGACAGAGAGGTAGAAAAATACAAAATTTTGACCACTATATTAAGAGAGAAAATATTTCCAGAAAAGATCTATAGGGCATAAATTTGATGCAGTGTAACAAGTAAAATTCAGAGACAGGGATAACAGAATATACATATACATATATATGAAAGATTTAGCCTTAATTTATAAAATGCCCATGCATAATACAATGCATAAAACGTAAGCCTAACAATAAAAAATATCAATTTCATGCCTGTAATACTCACTTCTCAAGTACTACATAAAAATACTTAATGTATTTTATCTAATTCATCTACTCACAAAATATTTACCAATTTCCTACTAGTCTTACTAGGAAATGTCCAAGTGCTTATTTTATATCTAAATTTCCTCTCCTAATTGATATTTTATAATATAAACTACTTCAAGAATACTTTCATCAAAACCAAGCTATCAAAACCTTAGACTCACTAAAGGACTTGTGGGTCAACTTGTTTGGTTTTTATTGTTTTAGAGGGGCGTATGTGTTGGACTTGGCTTTGTTTTGTTGTTATAAGTATTGATTTTATGCTTTTTCAGACACGAATGATATAGTAAATTGAATTATAAAGATATATTCTTTTATTTAATCTTCAACCTCCAAAATATATCAATGCTCATATCTGCAAATTCAGGTTAGAGTATATTTTCTAGTAAAAAACACAACAGATTATTTTTACATATTTTAAATATCTTACTAGAAAAAAATCTAAAAATTTAAATTGTTTAAAGAACAAGTCCTACAGAAATATTAAATTACATTACAGATATTGATAATTTAGCATATCTTCAAAACCAATATGACCATAATTAACTGCCCAAATAACAAAGAATTCCAATTTTATCCGCCCTTCCCCCATAATCCACACAGGTAAGCCAAGGCAAAATAATATACTAGCAGCTATTCAGAAGCCATCTTTGGGAATACTTTACAGAGAATTCCAGTTTATGGCTCTCTGAACATGGAACAAGCCCTGTTCCAAGACACTGAAGAAATAGTAGTGTTTAAAAAGCATTAATTCCAGCAAGTCAAAAGAGTTTATAATTTTGCTGTTTCTTTTGAAAAGTAAAATGTTTCAAATTTCTGACTGGGTTGTAGTTCACAAAATATTAATATAACTCTTGCTACAATTATCAAAACACAGCTTTGATAAAATTTCTGAATTTGGTAGTTTAAAAACTAAAAAATTATCCAGCTACAAGCTATTAATGTAGCTCTTAATAGCACTCTTTAATGCAAAACAATTTATAAAAAAATAAGAGAAAATTTTAAACGCTTGAAAACTATATTAACAATGAGATCAGAAAACAAATGCCAACCTGACATAAATGTAGTTGTTTCTTCAAAAACTGAACAAATATCTTGGGGGGGAAAGCAGGAACCTTAGATACAGGCAAGGTCCATATCTCAAAACTGGCATTTCAAGAATATAGTTTACTAGGAATTCCTACCATTTGGGACATGAATTGACCTTGAAGGCAAACAAGTCAGAGAAAGACAAATACTGGATGATCCTCACTTAGATATGGTATCCAAAAAAACACACAAAACATACTAACAACAACAAAAACATAAAAAAGAGAGATCAGACTTGTGGTTACCAGAGGAGGAGGATGGGGGAGGGGAACAGGAGGAAGGTAGCTAAAAGGTACAAACCTCCAGTTACACAATAAGTAAGTACTAGGGATGTAATGTACAACATGAAGACGATAGCTAACACCGCTGTATGATACACAGGAAAGCTGAGAGCAAACCCTAAGAGTTCTCATCACAAGGAAAAACATTTCCTTGTTTTCTTTTCTTTTTGTTATATCTCTATGAGAAGATGGATGTTACCCAAACCTGTTATGGTAATCATCTCACAATAGATATAAACCATACCATGCTATATGCTTTAAACCTATACAGTGATGTATGCCAATTATTTCTCAATAAAATTTGAAAAAATGATTATTATAGTTTTACGTTAGAGCTTCATATTACTTTTAAGCCATTTTAAAGTTACAAACCTTAGACAAAGCCTTTATTTGTCTGTGGTATTTTTTCAAATGTATAATCATAATGAATTAAAAGTACAGTATGGTGTACCTTATGTCCAAACAAGTATTTAAAAGGCTTATATTCAATCTAACTTCCATAGGTAGGAATGGTCATTTACATACTTCATTCCTCAAAATTCTTGTCACTTGTCACATAGAAAAACCTTAACAAGATAAATTCACACTATAAATGTAAGCTTTGTGAATGTTACAAATTGTACCCAATAGCTAAATTTCTTCAAACACAACGTAACAGAAGGATTATGGCCTGGAAGTCTAGAGATGAGTACATTAATAAACTGAGGTCTTTAAAATAAAGATAATGTTTCAGTATTGATGCTTCATTTAGATACAAAAATACTTGGTTACACAAGTGTACCCTGGGACTCTGAAAAACATAACAAAAATAAGTTTTAGATACAACAATCCCTCTGGGTAGATACTAGAAACTGCTGACATTTAAGAAATGTACAAAATTGCACAGATATAAATAAGCTTATCGACTGCTGCTAGTTAGGGTGAAGGCAAATACTATACAGTCCACATCTGCAACCCACTTTTGCTTCAGCATCCCCAGAGACTTAGAAAACATTGCTTTGGGTAGGTTGCAAAACATTGCTTCCTCTTTTATTCTCATCACCCCCATTATGGTACAAAGCAACAGACAACAAAATCAAATCGGCAATTGTAAGGGGCTGAAAGCTTAAAAATCTTTCCAGCCCCCGAATCCGTATTCATTCCACCTGTTTGTAAATCCACACGAACACAATAACACAAACCCGCTGCTGATGGGGGGGAGGGGGTATGGGGTGCGGGTGCAATTAATGGTTTGGAGTCATTCTTCTTCTTACCTAAACGTGGGGCGGGGGAGGAGGATGATACAAAACAATGGATGCTGAGGGGCTGGGGGGTTCGTTCTGTCCCGAAACCTCTAGTGTTGAGTTGGGGGGGAGTACTTTTCCTCTGTCTCTAAAAGCTACCGGGAAAGAGGTTGCTTCCATCAGGCATGTCCGACGGAGCAGTCTTGAATGCCTACAACTCGCTTCACCTGGCAACACACCCAAACCTCCTCTCCGCTCTCCCCCGAGGGGAGGGAGGGGGCGAGAAGAGCGCGGTGGGCTCTGGGGAGGCGGCAAGGAAAGACCCCCCGACCCGAGTCACTACCGCGGCGCCAGGGACCCC